TAGGATTAAACTCATTTAGAAGTTCGTTATTTCAAAGAATTAGAAACTAGCAATTATTGCTTGAGATACAAAGTATAGCATTGTTAAGATCTTAATTTAAGCCGAGAATGAAATTTTATGGTGGAAATTAAGCTTAGTTATCTTACTTATAGCAAGTTTATAATTTATCGCTGTTTAGGTTGAATGGTTCCATAACGGGAAAAGGATAACACCTGGTGGTCGGATACGTATTCAGTCTTGTGGTGGCGGATCACACGCCCTTATTATTATGGATACACTTCCCGAAGATGCAGGCGAATATGTAGCAATTGCTCGGAACTCTCAAGGACAAGCTTCAAGTAGTGCGGTATTGGATGTAACTGGTAAGCTAATATTGGAGTGAATTTTAATAAATTTAACTTCAAACACAAATGAAATTTCTGGCAAGCTTCATCTTCTTTTTTTAGCTTTTTTGAATTAAAAAGGCTTTTTTGAATTTTTAGAAACAAGAAAAAATCTTCATACTTTTTTGATTTTTTTTTTGGATTAAATTTTTGTTTTTTTCAAAAATTTTGTTGGTTCTTTTTTTTTTGGAAAAATTTATTTTTACTACTTTTTTGCAGTACCCCTTCTGGATTCTATTAAATTTGATGGTTCGGTGGATGTTACACCTTATCTAACAGAAGAATATGGTTTCAAGAAAATTCCACACTATTGTAAGTTATCAAATGTTTTTTTCTCTAAAGTTCAGCAAAAAGTTCCATATAAAAAACATATTTTTATTTTCAATCAGATTGTTTATTACAATAAAATTTTAGACATCCCAACACCACCAGATCGTGGTCCATTTATTAAAGAAGTTACTGGACATTATTTGACACTTTCATGGATTCCAACCAAGAGAGCACCGCCACGATATCCTCAAGTGACATACGTTATTGAAATACGTGAACTGCCTGAAAAAGATTGGGTGCTGGTAAGTAATTTTCAACTTTCAAAAACAACAATTAAGAGAATTTTGAAAAACTGAAATTCATAAACTGACAAGGATAGTGAATGATATCGATGTTATTGATCAAAAAAGTGTAACGATTCTGATTTTAATTCTTAGCTTTGAAATTTCAGCTATTTCTTATTGAAATCAATTTCAGCTTGATTATAACATTCCGGAGCCTGTATGCAAGGTTCGAAATCTGGAACTTGGTAAAAGTTATCAGTTTCGAGTACGTGCGGAGAATATTTACGGAATCAGTGACCCATCACCTGCTTCACCACCATCTCGACTGATGGCACCCCCGCAACCGGTACTTGATAAGAACAAACGAGTTATCCCGCTGCTTGATCCGTATGCTGAACGAGCTCTTGATCAGGCTCATGCTGAACAATATGGTATTGCTGGTTACTTTTAAATATTACTTTACTTCCTTTAAGTTGACTGCAAAATTGAAGTAATTGAAGATCGAAAGAAATCAAAGTACAGCTGAAAATGTAATCAAGTAATATCCGAATATACTTACATTTTAGAATAAACTAAATTTTTAGCATGCGCTCCATGGTTTGCTCCTGGTGTTGAAGAAAAACGATTCTGCGCAGAAAATGATATGCTATCAATAACACTATATGTATCCGGTTACCCTGATCCAAATATTGTTTGGAAATTCCGTAATGTGGATCTCGATATGGGACCTACATCAAGGTCAAATATTTGCTTTTCATTCTGATTCATAAGAATTCGTTTAATTAAACAATCCATCGATAGTCTTTTATGTGATTTATTTATTTCTTTTTTAGCTTGTTTACTTGTTTATTGATGTTTGAATGATATTTTGTTTACTTATTTATTTTTTCGCTAATGTTTGTGTAATATTACAGAATTCGTGTGCTAAATCATGCTGGCATGGAAACAACACTTATAATAAGTGGATTTAGTAGGGAAAATGTTGGACAGTATCAGTGTATTGCAACAAATCAGTACGGTGAAGCCCAGCAAAATATTTTAGTTGATCTCGGTGGTATGTTTTCGAGAGTTTTTTAATTTTTCAGAAACAGTTTGAATTATATCATGTCAACAAGCATTGTTTTTGGTAATGTCATCTTTCTGAGTGATATAATTTAGATTGTTCAGTTTTTTATTTTAATTTCTTGATTATTATATGGAAATTTTGGAGCGATCAGTGCATTGATAAAGTTTGTGATTTGCAGCACGACCAAGGTTTATCCAGTCTTTGGTTAATAAAGTGATACCCAGTGGTAAACCACTTAGGTTAGATGTACGTGTTGAAGGATGTCCATTTCCGGAACTCAAATGGATGAAGGTATGGTCATCAATGCTTTATTCTAATTAAAGTAAAAATTTTTGATAAAAATCCATATTCTTCCTTGATCTTATAGTTAGAATAACTGTAAGCAAACTTTTTTAGAAAATTAACATATGATTTTATTGCTCTGTTTTTTTTAAACAATTGCCATTTACATAGTTGTATTTCTTAATGCAACAATTGGCTATTATTTTTTGTCATTTACGTATTAATTGATATTTAATGAAATAAAAGTTTTTACAATTTTAAAATTATTAAAATTGATTTGCTTTCCAGGATTGGAGACCAATTGTAGAATCATCCCATGTTAGTTTTGTACGTGAAGGTTCTTTATGTTCGTTGATTATCAATGATCCATTTTGGTGCGATTGTGGAATTTATTCTGTGGCAGCTATAAATGACGCTGGCACAACAACAACGTCATGTTCAGTAACAATCGAAGGTTGAAATATTATAATTCATCATTATCATTATACTATTACTATCATAGCAATTTATATATGTATGATTTTATACTGCCTATGAATATTCGAATTTGAAAACATATATAAACATTTATCTTCAAATGTTTATTTGAAGATAATGGAGATTATAAAGTTGTTGCAGAATTGCAAAATTAGACAGAAATATTAGCAAGAACAGGATTGTCAATTTAAACATCATGTTGAGAAAGTAATTAGACAGAAATATTAGCAAGAACAGGACTGTCAATTTAAACATCATGTTAACAAAATTTTAAAAGTAAATATATATTAAATTTACTTCCATTGAATCTAAAGTTCGGTAGATAGATTTAAAAGATTGCATGTTAAAAAAATGCATGTATGATTGCTTTCGTAATGATCGTATCTTTTTTTATACTGAGATAGTAAATAACAGAAAGTTTTGTTAATTCACAAAAATTACTTACTTTGTTAGCTCTTTTCTGATTGGATTTCATTTGGTCAAAATTAAATTTTCATTTTATTCCTTAATTATTTGTTTCGTGTTAAAATTTTACAATACCACTCATAACTTTTAGTAACTTTAAAATCTTGCAATAGCCCTGCTAAACTTTTTTCAGTGATTTGTTTATCATAATTCTTACTCTCTAATTATTTATTATTTTATTAAATTATTTTCGTTATCATCATCACCATTATTTGTTGATTTTATAAAAGGCAGTATAGTATAGTTAACAAAATGAAACATCGAGTATGTTATCATATCAGTTTAATGCTTTCAAAGATTTTTTGCTAGAATTTAAGTTTAAAATTTTCAGCCGATGGAGACTTCAGCGTGATGCATGACATTCGAAAGAAAAAAGCTCGAATGACGCTTGAAGCTCGTAAAGTTCGAGAAATTTATGAAATCGATGAAAACGATGAAAAGTACGAGTATAATGCTTCAAATTGAGGCGCACTTTCTTTTTCTCTCTCTCTCTCTCTCTCTCTTTCCCTTTCCACTTATTGAATAAATTGAAGCTAACTGAGATTAGAATGCTTTTGCTTCAGAATCCTCTAATAAATGAGGGATACGTTTATTTTCCCGTGAAATGAAGCAATTATCAATTGATGATTACGTTTCCTTCTAATAACGCAAAAAAAAAAAATCAATTTATCTTTTTTTTTGTGCTATACTATCCATTTCGTATCGTTTCAAATTGTTAACTTACCATCATATATTCTGGCTAAGTTGCACTACTCCATACCTGATAATGTAATCTCTATTCTGTGATAATAACGTTTAATTGATCGATTTCTAATCGATACGCATTGATTACCGCGAAGGATGAATGCATCGTAGAGATGTATGGCTTTATTTCAGCAAGATTAACACCAATATTTAGAAGATCATTTTGTTTGCAAATTTTTGGAAATTTTAAAATTGAAAATTTAAGAAATGTCAAATTTTTTCCCCCTTTTTTTTCCTTTTTTCTTTGTTGAAATTACGTCACAATTCTTTCACATGTTCCTTTGCGATGTATTTTCGAAAAAATCTATTAAATAAATTTAAAAAATTAAAAACAATTTTCATTTGATGCATCATTTTACTTTCTTTGACAAAATGAAAGAGTGATGGCTATTTGATGTGCACAAATTAT